GGAAGGAAGGAAGGAAGGAAGGAAGGAAGGAAGGAAGGAAGGAAGGATCAAGTAACTTGTGTAGGGACTGTAAATAAAGGCAAAGTATGATTTGGCAAAACTCTAGCATTTTATTCATGTTTTAGATGGAAATACTAGAGGTCCTTTCTTTTATTGTAAATATGTCTTTCCATGGACTTCCATTACTTTTGCCCAGATCTCCAATTACTAATATAATCCATTCCAAATGGAGTTCATTTTATAGAGGTTTTGAAAATTCTAATTGGTACAGAATATGACAGCAAAGTTTTTAAAGATAAATATGGAGATTCTTTAAGTTTCTCCTAATTATACTCCTATTATTTTTCATCAATTATTTTTTCACCAAACATTGAGAAAAATGGATATGCATTCAAAAAGATTAATGTTCATGCCCACTTCCAGCAAGGAAGTTGACAAACCATTGAAGAAATGCAGAGAACAAACCTTACTTCAAAAAGTGTAACAAATTTTTGAGGAGTTGAGACAAATCCAGCCATTTTTACTTGCCACAGAGAATTATTTATGTCATACCTAACCCATATTTTATCAAATACTATTTTAAAGGACAATGGACAGTATCCTTTTGCACATCAACAGAGCCCTGTTTTTCCTTTCCTCATACTGCCTAGGCATTTAGGAAAATCATTAGAATATTCAAATAAATATGAAGAACATTAATTAGTATTCCCACTTAATATTCACTTTCTTTATTTCTTATTTTGGATACCTAACATATTTGAGACAGTAATATCAGACATCCACAGCTTTCAACATTCAATTGTGATGCCTACATATACCTGTGTGCATTATGCAGCACTCTACAATGTGAACGTATCATGTCCTATATATTTATTACCATTACCACTTGCTGATAATATCATGGCCTGGAAAAGAAATTATTCCATTGTTAAATTATAACTGTTTTTTAACCTTTCATCCAAAAATTAATCAGTATGTTTACATGTCTTTCAATTTTGTTGCCGATATTTCTAAAAATATTCACTTCATCTTAATAAAGAAGATTAAACTGTTATATTTGTGTCCCACTAGGCCTTGTGGGGGTTCTAACAAACTTTTGAAGTACTGTACTAGTTTGAAGTGACTGCTTCCTTAGATTGTACCTTAGTTCCGTTTGATGCATTCAGTTTTAATTAACCCCCTCTTGCAATCCATTTCGCCCCACATTAAGTTTTTGGGAAAATCTTCTAGAAAAGTATGGGAAATCTTTTAGAAGACATGCAGCAAACTACAGTAAGCAGCAAAATGCATGAATATTGTATGCTCTAATTTGTGTGATTTTAAAGTGCTTGCTACTGGACATAGCTGAACAATAAGGATCCAAAAAGACTGTTGGAGAAAAAGAAAGGTCATACACTTTGTAGTTTAATTCATTTCATAAATACAAAAGGTGTAAAAGAGCAATGGCTGTTTTAAATGGTAATAACATGATTATTTTGAAAATAAAGTAATTCAAACAATTAAATATTCCATTTTCTTTGTTAAATCGTATTTCCTTTTTGAGTGAATATCTTCTAGCTTCTTTTATGTACAGACGTTACTCTTAATGCAGAGTTCCATAGGTTTCACTACAAATGTATATATATAGTTCAACTTTTTCATGTATAACTAATTTATTCCAATATTAATAACTTCCTTTGTATGAGACAGCAAATAAGAAAGTCTTGAAAATATCTAATATTAATCAGCAATTAATTGACTAGTTTAGAATTTTTAAAGTTTTTACTAACTTCAGAATAGAAAAATAAAATTCACTTAATGCTCTCAGATTGCAAAATGTTCAGGAATCAGTTGGATATATTGTGTTACTTTTTAAATACAACAAATGACTATAAGTGAATATCACAGACTAGAAACATACACATAGACAATGTCTGTTCATGCATGCGTGAAAAGGTAAGATTGGAGGGGAAAAATCTCTTATAAAATATTGTACTAGTACAAATAATAAATAGATTTCTTCTCAGAAGAACCCCGTCAAAATATTTATTAGGAAGGAAAAACTTATTTTTCTACAAATTGCTTGATAGAGTATTATCTCTTACCTGATCTTTAATTTCAAGTTCCCTTATTGTTTTTGTCCTATACTCCCTGTGCTCCTTTTCAGCTTCATCCTTCTTCATTTTGGTCTGATTCAATTCGTAACGTATTTCTCCACACACCTGTTAGATCAAATAGATAACATCCTGCAGTTTCAGGATTCCACAAAGTAATATTTGTTTAGAGGAGAACTTTTGATGCCCTCTAGTGACTATATTTATTATTTCATCATTTGCACTGAATTCTGTAAAGGTTTTTTTTATATGTTACTCCTATTTTTAAAAATAATTCCGTAGAGCAGGAGTGTCAAACTTGCGTCATCATGGCATTGTCACATGATGTATCGTGACTTTTTTTCCCTTCGCTAAACTGGGTGTGACCAGCGCATGACGCACCTGGCCCAGGGACTGTGAGTTTGACACCCCTGCTTTAGAGGGATGCTTACATAGCAAAGAGCTCCTTGACCCATTATTTTCTGTTAGTGGCCATACAGCCACCAATTGCATTCACCATTGCTGTTTAAGCCAAAATATATCCATCATCAATGAATTCCAGAAATGCAGAGAATATACAACAAGCATAATCCACAAGCAATGAGATTTACTTAATTATTCAGATCTACTTTTAGGAGTAATAGAGGGAAAGGGAGGAGAACATATTCCTATTTATGAGGCAACAGAATGATGTCCCACCACTATCTTGAAGGAATTTTATTGTAATGTTACTGGAAAAATATTATTGCTATTTCACGTTTTATCCCAAAATAACTGCAATTCCTTCCCGCACTTCTATCCTCAGCCCAACAAGAAAACAGTTTCTTCAAAGCATTCATTCAAAGCATTTTCTAGGAAAAGGTGATGGAATGGGGCACTTTTTGAAAACAAGGAGAATTCACAAATATTTCATACATCATCAAGCTAGAGAGACTAGAATTCTCATTTTTAATTCTGGAAACTTGTATACTTGTACCATATCGCTCTGAGGTGAGCAACTTCTTTTTCTCGGGGGACCTTCCTTTTTCAAAAAAGGTATCTAAGATTTGCAGGACTGTATGAAAATTATACAGTGACATTATTATTGATCAATAGGGCTGAAGTGTTATACTCTTGATTAATTAGGAGGCTCTAGGTGATATACACAAAATTGTCATTTACTTAGCCTGTTTAATTAAAAAAAAAGGGCAAAAAACATATCATCCAAAATCACAATTTTGCTGCCAAATTTAGAAAAAATCATCTCAGATGATGAATTGTGCTTGAATCATATAGGATTGGTGCACATTGGCTATTTTTAGCTTACACTAGGGTTTATATTTTAAGGAAAGTGGAAATATTTTACTCAGACTAGTGTTTCTCAACATTGACAAGTTTAAGATAGGTGGACTTCAACTCCCAAAATTCTCAATCGTAGTGAGGATAGTCAATTGGAGAATTCACTTTTCCTCACAAAATTAGCACCTTTCATTATCAGGAAGTAGGAAGCTGTAATTAGAATGTATTAGGAGAGGAAGGCTACTCTTTAAAGGCCAAAATTTAAGGAGTGAAGTTTATCTCTAGTAAGAACTGTAAATCAAGAGAAAAAGTAAACATGCATCTTAATAATTATAATAATTATATATTATAAAATAATGAAAATGTTTAAAAACTGGGAACGCTAAGGAAGAGCCTCAAGAAGGAGTGTCCTCAGAAATCAACTCAGCCTATTGGGAGACAGACAGAAGCACCTCCCCTGCCTGGATGCTAGGAACAGCTCTCAGGAGAATGTTCCTACATTTTTAGCCTCCAAGTAAAAGTAACTTAAGAAATTTTCTGAAATATAACTTTTTACACTTGTTAATGCTAAGGCAAGTACAGGAATACAGTAAACTAAAAATATGCATTGCAATGTAGTACAGTCAACATTCTGCTTTGCTGTCAATCCAGGTTGTAATAATATACCAGAACCAACATTCAGATGAAGGGTCTATCAGGACAGGAACTCATCAAATTTGATGAGTTTGGAGAAATTTGGGGAACTCATCAAATTTGCAGACAACACCAAGCTGGCAGGAATAGCCAACACACCAGAAGATAGGTTTAAGATACAGAAGGATCTTGACAGTCTTGAACATTGGGTGTTATCTAACAAAATGAAATTAAATTGTGAAAAAAGTAAGTTCTACATTGAGGCAAGAAAAACAAAATGCACAGGTACAGAATATGTGGTACCTTGTTCAAAAATAGTAACTGTGAGAGGGATCCTGGAGTCCTAGTGGACAATCATTTAAATATGAGGCAACAGTATGCTGTAGCTGCCAAAAAAGCCAACGCAGTTCTAGGCTGCATAAACAGAGGGATAGAATCAAGATCACGTGAAATGTTAATACCACTTGATAATGCCTTGGTAAGGCCACACTTGGAATACTGCATCCAGTTTTGATCGCCATGATATAAAAAAGATGTTGAGACTCTAGAAAAAGTTCTGAGAAGAGCAACCAAGATGATTAGGGGAATGGACGTTAAAACATATAAAGAACAGATGCTGAAATTGGGTATGTCCAGCTTAATGAAAAGAAGGACTGGGGTGACATGATAGCAGTATTCCAATATCTCAGGGGCTGCCACAAAGAGGAGGGAGTCAAGCTATTCTCCAAAGCACCAGAGGACAGGACAAGAAGCAATGGGTGGAAATTAATAAAGGAGAGAAGCAACCTACAACTAAAGAGAAATTTTCTGACAGTTAGAACAATTAATCAGTGGAACAACTTGCCTCCAGAAGTTGTGAATGCTCTAACATTGGAAGTTTTTAAGAAGAGATTGGATAACCATTTGTCTGAAATAGTATAGAGTTTCCTCCCTAAACAGGGGGTTGGACTAGAAGACCTCCAAGGTCTCTTCCAACTCTGTTATTCTATTCTATTACAGACTCTGACATAGGCTGAAAACTGATACTGACTTTGTTTCAGCAACCATTTTCTTGAAATTGAAGACTTTTGAAGATTCTTATTCAGTTACAGGCCACATAAAATACTGTAATGCTACTGTACTGACAATAAGTTTAGGTTTTTTGTTTTTGTTTGGCACTTATTTGCAAAGCCATTTATTGACTGTACTGTAAATCCTCTGCTGCTTCTCCTTTGTGCTAGCAAAGCTCAACTGTCCTCACTGCATCAGTTATTTATATTTGCCACAGTTCAAACAACTCTAAGCTGTTAGTTAAAGTTAATGTATACAGTTAAAATGGACTCTAGTGAAAACTGCCTCTTCTGCATTTTCAAAACCATTCTACCTTATTGATCTCCATTTCACGAGAAGCATGGTGGCTTTGAGCTTCTTCCAGCTGATTAGTTAGGGAGATCTTTTCCCTTGTAATCCTGTCAATCTGAGACTCCAGACCAGCAACATTTTGAGATAAAGACATTACCTGAAATAAAAGATAAAGACATTATCTGAAATAAAATGTTCAGGCAAAAGATTATGCAGGTATTTCCACTGGTGAGGAAAGATTGACTTTGATCCTAAAAGTAGGCAAACAAGGTTTCTTACTTTGTAATTTGTATATTCCTTCCATCAAATATCTCTAGGAGGCCTAAACTAGTGATAATTCAATCCTTTATTTAGTTATTTTTATTATTATTTTGTGGCTTGATATGATTAGGTCTGCCTGAGAAAAATTCTGATAAATTCATTAAAAACAAAATGGGAATCATTATTTTCTTGGAATTGTCAGAATTTTACCTGTTGTATAAATAACAAAATGAACATGCTGCAGGATATATCAAAATTTTAAATACTTTAAATATAAGAGTATTTAATGTAGAAATTATTATCTGTACTATAATGAAGATAAATAAATATTATAACACCAATAAAAAATAAAGACATGTTTTAACAACTTGAAATCAAATACTGGAGCTACATTTAAAATAATGAACTTTTCAAAATGGCAAATATTTTACAACTCTATTACTTTAGGATTTTTTTAAAATTAAAAATACAGTAAATTAACTATAAATCAAAATGTTAAAAAAGTTTATAAACACAATATGCTTACAAGTACAAGTATGTGCCATTTCCAGATTGCTTAGTACGTAAGATTTTTAGCTGCAAATTTAATAAAAAACAGTTCTTTCGTATCATGGGCTAACAATAGATTGTTTTTTTTAAAATTTTGCTAATTATCTGTAATTTAGAGCTAATTAATAGAGACCAATGCTTGAATTCAATTTATAAATATTTGATGGGATTGCATGGTCCTTGCCCATCCGACTAAAAGGCTAAGAGCTAGTAGAAGCAAATCTTTTGAAATGGCAGTCAGAGATGGTAAAAGAGTGTTTTTGGGTTATATTTAGTATTGGTATATTAGGGTCCTGATGCCTGAATAAATATATTAGTATATTACTACTATTAATAATAATCATATTAATAAAATGCTTAAGGTTTAATCTTATCTTAACGTCACATCTTTCTCTGACTCACTTATTTCAGAGATAAAAATTATTACATTTTATATTAAATATCTTTATCCATCAACAATTATTACAACCACTGAGCCTAATGACACACTTGGATGAGAAGTGAAGCGTCTTCAAAGAAAAACAAGAAAGTCCAGTTGCCTCTTGAAAAAGCATAATTGGAACCTGGATGACTGAGAATCTCCATAGACAAATCTGGGAAGAGTTCTGAAATCACAATTTAAGTTATTTTCTTGCCTATTCAATTATCAAATTTCTAGACTTATTCCAATTTCAATTCCACTTGGCCGCTCATCATGGATTAGCAAATGAGCAGAATGACCAAGCCAATTCTTCTACCATAAAGCAAATTTAAAAAAAAAACTATTTTACATGAGTTTAAAGACATGTTACATCTATTTTATTCTTTCCCATTATTTGTAAGTTTACTTGCCTCTTTGGCTATCTGTTCCCTATCATATTTTTAAATGTAAATCTGAAAAAAAAAATCCAAATTAATGAGTAAGGATTACATATTCCTTAAATTATAAAACAATAGCAGTAGGTAACTGTATATTCCACGCTTTGTTTAAAACTTCCTTAAACCATTTCATAGAAACAAATTTGTATACAGGAAATATAGATACACTATAAGAATATTTTGGAGCTAAGTAAAAACTATAACATATAATCAAAAAGCTCAAGTGTTTAGAACAGTGTTTTTTCTGTTTTTTTTAGAGTTGAAACATTGTTTCCAATAAGAATTCATAAATGTAATACCTATTAAAAACAACAGCCAGGTACCAAAATTGATTATGCTCCAAAATAATTAAAAGATAGGAAAATACCAGTGATGACAGGTTTTCTTTTTCTTTCTTCATTTCTTCACGAACTGCTTCTCGCTCTCCAGCTCTCTTATCTAGCTGAAGTGCTAATTCTTTTTCAAGACGATCTTTCTGTCTCTCCATTTCATTTTTAAGCTGTTCACATTGAACTAAAGCCTGTGGAAATGATGAAGACCACTCTAACAATTGTAGAACCAAATTATATATTCTTTTAATAGGCAAAAATTAAGATTGGGGGGGGGAAATGAAATAAAAAATTCATTTAAATTTAAGTATGTTCTCATTAATATATCAAGATGCATAATATATATAAAATTATAACTATACAAAATATTTTCAACATCCACAAAAAAATGTGCCACTGATAAATGAATGGTGAAGTAATAGATTAGTGCTACTTTCAAAGAACTTTAATTCAGGGATAATGCTGGATGTGTCTGTGCTAAATACCTATTAACATTTCACCATAAATATTCTGAATTTACATTTTGGAGTATATATCATATGATGAAAATGAATAAAGGTGCATATTTTTACCTACAGATATGAATGTACTTACTTTATCTCATCTTTTCACCATATTTTTCAAGCATATATTTTGTTCCAATCTGAGACCAAATTTACTAAATTACTCAATTTAAATGTTATTTTCTTATGTGATATTAGCATTTTAAATGAAATATTATTAGATAGGAAGTTATTTCTCGGGTCCTGTTTGAAAGATAATCAGCCTTAAAAGAAAGTAAATGTACTCTTGTTGTTTGACAGTAAAGTGTCTACAAAATACTGTTTTCATTAATCATTAATTTATCATTAAAGAGATCTTACAGCCATTATTTTTTCTATTTTGATTTTGCAAGACTTAATCTGTAAAAACATTTATAGTATTATTAATGTATTTTTTAGACTTTTATCCCAATTTTCAAAAGGTGACATACAAAGCATGCTTTTCTCCAATTTTCCCCTACAACAACAACAGCCCTGGGTGGTAAGCTAAGGTGACAGAGAAAAAATGTGCTGAGGTGATGACATTTCCTGAGATTGAAACAGAATCTTGGTTTCCTTAACCGCAGTCGAACACCTTATCAAGAATGCCACCCGTTTTCAGATTGTATAGCTTCAGTGCAAACCTTTTAAACCTACACGGCCATTCATTAGTTTTTCAACAATCACATTTTATTTTCTTTACTGATATTAAAACATGACATTTGATAGGTAAGTTGGCAAGTAACAAAATTGCCACCTTAAAAACATATATTTCTATATATTTTTGTTTGTATGTTTTTAACCCTCTTGTCTACAGATACTAATTGAATATAAATTATTTTAGTCCTAGTGATTACAGTTTACACAAGTATGCAGACTCAACTCTGAAAATGAAGAATACATGCACAAGCACTCTGCTTATATAGATGCAGTGCTTTCCCAAACAACTTTCTCTGCATGTGGCATATTCATCAATTCTTATTAAAGTGATAGGAATAAGAAATGTTATTATACAGTTTGATCCCTTACAAAAATAATGTTTGCTTCCAACACAAATTCCTTTCAACTAGATGCAATATACTAATTACACAGCAGATGGCACTAGTTACCAAGGTAATAAATCAATCTAAAGCAAGAGACCTCTAAAATAAGCTTTTTAACTTACATTAGAAAAGCTCTTCAATATTGTTTACATAGCACCATTTGCAGTGCAAGGTATGAAAAATTAAAAGTGTAACTCGCACTAAGTTCTTGAAACTGAGGAGAGAGAAAATTCATTTCTAAGTTAACAGGTCACCAGCAATAAAAAAAATACAGCTATTCCAACTTTCTCTTTCTGACAAACCATAAATAGGAGAGGGAGTAGGGGAAATGGTATCTGAGACCTAGCTCATGCTATTCAAATTAGCGGGTATTAGGCTGTATGAATACAGGTAAGTCTTTGACTTGTGACCACAATTGGGACCCAGATTTTCCATTACTTAAGTGACGTGTTCGTTAAGTGAGTCTGATTTTACAGCCTTTTTTGCCATAGTTGTTAAGCGAATCACTGCAGCCATTAAGTGAATCGTGCGGTCATTAAGCAAATCCAGCTTTTCCCATTGACTTTGTATATTGAAAGTTGGCTGGGAAAGTCACAAATGGTGATCACATGGCCCCAGCACCATCGTAAACACAGGCTGGTTGCCAAATTTTGATCGCGTGACTGTGGGATTGCTGTGACAGTCACTGTTGTTGACAGTTGTTTCAATGCCACTGTAATTTCAGATAGTTGCTAAATAATTTGTAAGTCGAGAATTCTTTGTAAATACCTGGATTTGTCTTAAGTGGCTTCCAATCAGTTTTATTATGGACCCCGATTCCTTGTCCATTTTCTCCATGCCTTGCATGATTTCAACCATCTCAATCACATCTATACCTTTCACATATTTTCCAAGGCAAAGGCCCCTCTGATCAAGTTTGGTTGCCCTTTTCGGCAAGTTTTCTAGTTCTACTATTTAGTTTTTGAAGTGCAGCAACCAGAACCACGTGTCATACTTTAGATATGGTTAAACCACATACTTTCAGTGTGTTAAAATGTTTTTTATTAAAACAACAAGCCACTCAACTCCACAGTGACTTTTGGTTAAAAAGAACATCTATTCTAAAATCATGGAATATAGATGACCTGTCAGCCTTACCAGGTACACCAAAAAGAATAGATAAGCTAATTCTTTATAATGTATTATAAAGCTACACTACAAATCTTGCCAGTGAAAATACTAATCACCCAGTATCTCTTTTTCAGCCTAGGAAGCAAGAAGTGTCCCTACTTAGCCGCTTTCTCCACCCTGCCCAGAAAGAGAGATGATTTAAAGGAAAGCAATTTGGCCTGTTCCTGGGGGCGGGGGAGATGTTCCTGCACCCAAAATCTCACTTTGTTAGGAAATACATGCAGAAATTGTTTTAAAATTACTTATCCTATCAATTTTTTCTTTGCGCTTTTGAGCAAAGAATCTGGTCACAACCATTTTCTACCTGGGTTTTTCCCACAATTCATAAAGCTCTTCAGGTCTGTCTACCTATAGGTATAGGGAGCTACAGTAGAACCTCTGGTTATGACCATAATTCGTTCCATAACTTTGGACGCAACCTGATTTCCTTTAAACAAACACAGAGCAGTTAACTCCGAGGGGCTGAAAGTTTAAAGAAGCTGAACAAGGACATGAGAAAAAGGGTGTGGAGAGGAAAGGTTACGGTTGAGCATTTCTTAAAACCGAACCCTCATAATAGGCTGCCCCCCCTCAGTTACCTCCAGTTAAGTTTGCCTTCTGCATCTCATAAAGATCCCCGCTGCCGCACCCGGCTGGTTTCCCCAATTTGCGCAGCCCCCCCCGCCCATCTAACCCCGAAGGTCGTCTCAATCGCCTTTCCTATTCTTCTTTCCCCACCTCCTCACCAAAGAGGAAATACATCCCCCAAGATGCTTTGCAGGTTTCTCCCTGGGGTTCCAGATGCTGCTCTGGCTGCTGACAAGCAAAGGTAAGCCAAGAGGGTCTGAGGCAGCCAAGGCAGCAACAGTGGCTGTGAAGAAGCTCCCAGCCAGCCTTTTCTCCAAGCCCGACAAGTGAGAGGCGCAAGGCAGGAGCGAGTGAGTGAGCAAGAGAGCCAAAGCGGTGGTCGGCAGAAGGAGGTGGTGGGTGACCACCACCAGCAGCAGCAACTGAGCGGCAGCGCGAGCAAAGGGTCTGCTTTTCCTCCTGCCCTGCCTGCCCGCTTCTTCTTCTTCTTCTTTCTTCTTCTTCTTCTTCTTCTTCTTCTTCTTCTTCTTCTTCTTCTTC